TTCCCCTGCGGTTACCTTAGCGTGGGAAAACGGTCTTATAGTGAAGACAGATGATGTGATAGAAAATTATACGGAGGCTTTACCCCCCGACACCAAGTACCGTGTGAGCCTACAGTGTAGCAGACAGAAAGAGAATGTTACTTGCATACTCATGGTGAGGATAATTGCACTGTCTGTCTGTATTGCACAGTTCATTATTGCAAATAGTAATGCGAGTTATGCAAACATATACACACTCTTAAGAAAGAAAGAGAGGGAGGAGGGGAATACAGATATAGGAATAGAGAGATACATAGACAAAGAGGAGTACATGTAGACAGAGAGATTGTTAGCTGGGCAGATAAACTGGTTGACAGATAGATAGATAGATAGAGAATGGGAGAGAAGAGAATAGGAGAGAAGAGAAGAGAAAAGAAGGGAAGAAAAGATAAGAGAAAAGAGGAGAAAAGAAGAAAAGAAAAGAAAAGGAAAAAAGTCGGAAAAGAAAGAAGAAAGGGAAAAGAAAGAAAAGACTAGACAGACAGACAGACAAACAAACAAACAAACAAAAGAAGAGATATACGGATACAGAGTAGGTCCGAAATAGATATACATACATAGAAAGACGGGCACAGTTTTTTTTTTTTTAATGAAAGTGAATACTATATATAAGAAATTAAACTAAAACTAAGGCCTTTCAAACACCACGATCGTTCCCCAGGCTGAGGAGGAAGCGAAAGAGTTAGCAGTCTTCGTCTCCCAAACTTTTCCTTCCGGTTTGCGCGTATCCGGTCTTCACGCGGGCGAATTTTTTGTGCAATACGAGAAGAATTCGCAGTCCCTAGGCGTGGATGCTGCTCTTCAAGGTAAGAGATCAGATCGAGGAAGAGTAAGTTACTGAGATTATTTTTTTTTTGAGAATGAAAGCATGAGAGAGAAGAAATTGTGACGCCCCCCCCAAAAAAAAAAGAAAAGAAAAAAAGAAAAGAAAAGAAAAAAAAAATATGACCTGAAAAAAAAAAAAAATCATTACGTAATCGCCATAATAAAACATAATGGAAGACCGCTATGCCACAGGGGGTCGGCGAGTGACAGTGGGGTATGTGCTTTCCGTCGTAGTCATCGGGCTCGTCTTCGTGGGCATCATCACGACTGTGGTGGTCGCCAGCGTCCGCCACAAGCCTCGGAAGGTGAGGTGCGGGAGGTGCCTATTCATTATTTTTCTAGATGTTTTGTTGTGGTTATTCTATTTGTTGTTGTTTTGTTGTTATTATTGCATTTGTTGTTGTTGGAGGTGGTGGTACTATCAGCGTCATCATCTATCATTAGTATTTATCGTGATAGTACCAATAGTAGAAATGGAGACACATACAGGACATAGCCAACATATTAAGAAAGTAATATTTACCTTTGGCCACAGAAGAAAAAATTACACCTGACCTTCGAAGACGCCGCGCCCCAGGAGTACGTGCCCTTCCTGTCGCGACCGGAGACGACGGTCATTGACGAGGTGGAGGAAGACGCTATAGAGGTCAGGTGATTCATTAAACTCTCTCTCTCTCTCTTTCCATCGAATCCTGAATCGTGAAAAACTCTCTCTCTCTTTTCATCGAATCCTGAATCGTGAAAATGCGATGCTTTTTGTAATTTCGCGAATTCTGTAACAAGCACTTCCCTGTCCTATGCATCTGCAGGAGGAACCGACGCTATGGGAGGCGGTGAAGTCAGGCGATGTGGACGCGGTGGAGGCTCTGCTGGATGAAGGATTCCACCCAGATGATGTGGAGGAAGGCAGGGAAATCACGCCGATCCTGGATGCTCATTTCCTCGGCTTCAAAGACGTGCTCGACCTATTGCTCAAATTCAAAGGGGAAAAGGCTACACTTCCCACTGAGGATCTTATCAAGTCTATCGTCAATGTAAGATTGAAGTGGCTGCCGCGTTGCATCCCGCTCATTGTTCTTTTGCTATTATGCCTGACGACCAAATCTAAGAATAATTTTTTTCTCCCTTTGCTGTTGTGGTTTGTACTGCGTGGCGGGTCATTAGCGTTTTTTTTATTTTTAACATCAAGGAGTTAGAAACCCGGATGAAGGAGGTGTTCGTGGCGGCGGAATGCGGGATGTACGAGCGAGAGCGCGGAGTGCATCAGCTGCTGGACACCCACATGCTGCCTGCCACTATCACAGACCATATGGGCCGCTCACTCATCCACTATATAACTTCTACAACCGTCATGGATGGGAGGCCACCGTGGGCACCGAAAGACGTCAAGAAATTCCTAAACGAACATAAATACTTCATCAACGCAGTCGATCACTGGGGTAAGAAGATTCCCCTCCTCATCATTTTCTGCTTATCCTTCTGTCTTTCTATTCTCATACGCTTGTAACTTACAATTATTATAATCATGCGCATGTAAATCTTACACGCGTACACCCAGGACGCACGGCCTTGCACCAAGTCGCGGAACATCCGAGGACGGCAGAGATGGACGTCATCTGGGAGGGAAAGGAGTGGGGCGTGTCGGAGGCGTGGCTGGAACTGACCAAGATCCTGCTTGGGTACGGATGCGACCCGAGGATACCCGATCACCGAGGAGTCCTGCCACACCAGCTGGCCACACACGCAGGGAATCATCAGATGGCACAGCTTCTGGAGGATGTGAGGCGTCACGATTTTGTTATTCGGTCGTACTTCTGGAATTAAAGGATAGGAGATACATTTCTGACTTTAATATACGTTTTGCAAATGCTTATTAAAAAAAAGCTATTTAGTTTCAGTTATAACAATAGAGGTCTATAGCTAAACCAGTTCGTTGGATGGAAATATATCACAATATATACGAAAAATAACATCATACTGTTACGGAGAAAATAGGTCTTTAAACCATCAGGGTACAATTTATATCAGATGCTGCGCATACTGGCCATTATGTTTACATTCCATGTCATATGGCTGCTCCATGCGTACAGAATATTTGGATGTCATCCGCAGATGAGTGAGAAGTTGGGGCCGCTGCACGAACCGACCGTCGAACAGCACGAGGAGCTGGTGACGGCCTGTCGGATGGGCGACACGTCACGGATTCGTAAGCTGCTACGACTGAATGTCCCCGTCCTGCCGATGTACGCGCGCGCTGACCCTCTGCGCGAGGCCATCCGGCACCACCAGAGGGACGTTCTGTTCCTGCTGCTGAGTGCAGGGGCGCCGCTCTCCAGCAGACAAGGGTCCTGCATAACGCCTCTAGAGGCTGCTCATACCCAGCAAGGACTTCCCGCCTGCTTCCCTGCCATTATGAGGAAGGTAATGCGCTTATGCGAGGCATATTTATTATTATCCTTATGACCATCATTTTATCAGAAATGTGGACAAGGAATTACGACACAATAACAACTGCATTTTCACCCTATATATACATTAAAAATAAACCACTAAAAGTTTACTATAAGCAGCTTAATGAGATGGTTATATTATTTACATATTTTGTCACCTTCTAGCATATTATAAAACTGTACACTACTTCATAAAGGTGACTGGATAAAAATCCGCTTGGATTAAGGCATCTTATTACGCCTGGGAGTCTGAATGCAATCTGATTTCACACACAGGTTACCGCCGAGAGACTGGAGCACGAGGCATCACGAGTTTCACCTGATGTGAAGGAATTGAAAGAACTCAGGGAAGGGATGCGTACATATACCCAGCAGATCCTGGACGTCGGGAGCAAAGCGAGATGGATCCTCAACAGCCTCTGCAGAAAGGAGCGAGGCAAGGAAGCTCGGAGGCTGCTAGCACAGGCTGCTGACCTCGGCCTCTCTCTAACATGTCAGCTGATGAGCCTTGAGGACGTGTTCCTCAATCCCCTCCCAGGCGAGGACCCCCCCGTGACGATGGCTGCTTCCCGTAACCACATCGACACGCAGCTCACCCTCTGCAGAGACCTCAGACTCAACCCCTTCTCGCCAGGATCAACGTCATTGGACTTGAAACTACAACACGAACTTTGGCTGAACGAACGAAAAAGACTGGAAGAGCTATATTTGTTAGGTGACTGTGATCTTACAATCACTGACAGGGAGTATATTAGGGGAATGATAAACACATGGCAAAATAAATCAACTGTCGTTAACACGGCGAACGTACAACAGCCCAGTGATCCCGTACTCTTCTTCATAGCAAAGCAGGGATTGATAGTCCTTCTTGATATCATACTCAGATGCGTTAGGGATTTTGATATAAACCGAGTCATCCAAACCTACTCAGGCAGCACAATGCTTCATGTTGCTTCTATATCCAACCACACCCAGACAGTAGAATACTTGCTACACAGAGGAGCGGAAGCAAACGCACTTGCAAGGGGTAACCTAAGTGTAGCGCATGTGGCAGCCCTGAGTGGGCACAGGAAGTGTCTGGAGTATCTCCTTGAGTGCATGGACAAGGCTATGGCGGGGGGAAATGACAAGAGCAGAAAAGCATTAGACTTGATGAGTGAATATGAAAAGATGCTCAGCAAATGCAGCAAACCCATAATGTCACACGAAGACGCACTTAGCATAATGGCTGAAAGAGAAGAGCAATCCAAAGCTTACTTGATACTAAATACGATGGCAAAATCCTTGAATATTAGTGCTCCTCAAAACCTGATACAAATAGCAAAGGAACGGGCATGCAACAAAGGTGAGTCAGAAGAAATTCTCAACAAAGTCAAAGGCGAAACATCAGCTATTTGCAGTTATATTAGGGATCCTAGATTCGAAGGGACTTTGACTGATGTTGAAGCTGTGTCAGAAGGAAACGAAATCTTCAGTATAGCCGAAATAGATTTCATTTATGAAGTATCCAAATTCACACTATCTCCAAATAATACTTCTGTTACTTATAGGAATTTAGATGCTAATGACAAATTAACTTTGGCGGTTGAGTCGTATTCAGAATCAGATCTCTTCAAGGGTGATGAGTTCCGCAAGTCATTCGGCTCAGCAGTGATTTCAGCTCTCAAGGAATACGTGTGCTCCTCA